ATCAAATACACAGAGATGTACATACACATATATGTATGTACACAATCGCAGCCATCTCATTTGACATAATGCATTATATTTGTAGATCTTTAATAAAATGGTAATTTCAATTTTGTGCTTTCTTTTCCTATTTTGGAGCCAACAATTTTTGGTAAATTTTATTGAAATTTATCACACGTACAGAAAAATACACAGATCTTAAGTGTATAGCACAATGGATTTTTGTGAAGTGAGTGCCCCTGGGTTATGAGTATTCTGGCCAAGAAGCAGAATATCAGGAGTCCCTAGGTCCCTTCCATTCACCACTTCTGCCAGGGGAACCACGAACAGATAAGTTTGATGCAATTTGCTTTATGTGGGAATCAAACAGTTTGTGCTCATCCTACATCTGGTTGCTTTTGGGGAACTGGTAATTTTTTTATTCAGGTTTCAGACATTTTTGGAGACCCTTGGAAGGCCCATAGGTTCTTGATGCTGTTGAAATGAGGGGTTCTTGACCTTGCCTTCACATTAGAATCCCTGGGGAGGTTTTAAAATCCTGATGACAGGCTCTGTGTGCCCAAAACAATTAAAACAGAGTCTCAAGAGGTAGGACCAAGCTTTGGCTGTTGGTCATGCTTCAGGTGACTCCCATTTCATTCAAGGTTGAAAATGCAGATCTAGACAATCCTGTAAAGTGTCAATACCCCGCCTTACAATCAAAGAAACGGATTCTAGGAGTCTCCACCGTCTGCCACAAAGCCAGAGCACACACTCTGGAGTGACTTGGAGTGGTATTTGTTTTGTCTAATCCTTAGATAAACAGCAAGGCCAAACCCCAGTGAGGGTACCTCCTGCCCAGACCCTTCTCACCTGGAATCCTTTCAAAGATATGGACAGGGAGAGGAGTACCCAGACCAGTGGGTGCCCAGAAGTCAGCCCAGCACTAGCCCCATGTTGGAAGACTGGCCACTGGTGGACTCCACCCTCACCCTGCACCTCCAGAAACTACAGAAAACTTCTTGCAGGTGGCAGCAGCTGCTGGTTTGGGGGCTGTTAGTGAAGTTTCACAGCAGCCAAGTGGGTCTGCGAGCCACTGCTTTTGACTCCCAGGTGCAGCACATGATTCTGCCACTAGGCGGCACTGGAGCTTCTGCAAGCCCTGTCTTCACACACACCTGCCTTTGGCCAAGGGAGGAAGCTGGCCCAGTGAAGAGAGAAAGGTGCAGCAAGAACTGCTTGGGCACGCCAGGTGGGATGTGCCCTTGGGAAGGGACAGCAGGGGACGGGGAAAGGGAGCACAATCTGGCTGAGGCAAGATCACAGTTCTTCTGCTTCATTGATCCTTTTAGAGCCTGTCCCTGGCCAGCAAGGGGGATGCAGGAAACACAAGGCTACAATCAGACCCAAGTCTCTGTCCCCATAACTGAGCCAGCCAAGAGAAGCCACATCCCACAGGTCTGCAGAATTGGGTCTTTCCATTGACCTATACCAGGATGTCCCTGTGGGTCCCAGAAATCCATGAGCACACCGCACCCACACTCCTGCAATGCCCTGTGCAAGGAGGGACCAGCCCCAACTTGGAGCCCAAAGCTTCAGGTCCTTTCCTGGGAATCTACCAGATCCCAACCTGATGATGCCTGCAGAGGCCTTTGAAGCTAGATGTATTGATCCACTTCCCCACAGTTTGAAATCAGACTGTCTAGGTTCAAAGTCAAGCTCTGCCACTTCCTAGTTATGTGACTCTGGGCAATTTAACTTCTATGACCTCAGTCTCCTCATCTGGGAATAATAATAACCCACACCATAGAGGGTTGTTGTGATGATTCAATGATGAATTATATAGAGTCCTAGCCTCATACCTTGGCCCAGATGAGGCTGTTAAATGTTAGATACTTTTGTTATCATCATTATTGCCAATATTTGAAAGCGGGAAGGTCAAAGAACTCTCTGCCAGATTAGCACTCAGAGTGGGTTTTCCACTTTGGAAACCCTCACCCATCTACAGCACTTCCTCCCTAAAACACTTGGCTGGGGTTCAAGTCTGACCTTGGGATAGAATAAATACCCTACCCCAAAAAGCACTACAGAATGAACCTCCACACTGGTTAAGAGAACAGCCCCCACCTCCCACAACTCGTAGCAGCCCTCACAGCCCAGGCTTGAGCACAGGCTAAAGTCCAGCCGGCCCAGGCCTCAGGTAAATACCAAACTATTCCTTATGGGCAGTGAGTAGAAGCCTGAAAATCACTTGGAGTTCACAGCACCATCTGGAGGGGACCCCCTAGGCCCACCCCAGAGACCAGAGCTGCTATCCCCATCGTCTGATGAGGCCCTCTCTGGCCTACAGATCTATGTGACCCCAGCCTCCTGAAGCTTCAAGCAGCTTCCTACCTGATTACTACCCAGCTTCCTACCTGCTTGCTACCCACTGGGTCAGGAAACTTCCATTTGAAGATCATCAACCAGCTTTGTGATGAGGCAAGTCTTTCAGCCTCTCATTACACTTCTAGGAGAAGATGCAGGTAACCTTAAAATCCCCTCCAGTTCCTAGCATATGGTTTTAACAAAGTACCTGGCACACAGTAGGTACTCAATTAGTGTTTTGTTTTATAAACTCCAAGACATAGCTGCTGGGCTCCAACACCTACCTACTTTCCATTCTTTAGTACTGAGTAATTCATGTGATCCAACTCCTAACAGGGCCCAACCCAGGGTAAGAACTCAAAAATTGGGTAGTATCTAATTCACTAATTACTTTTGGCCTGGCTTTCAATTTGAACCTGTTCTGGCAACCCAAGACTGCAGACTCACCCAAAGATCAGATTAGAAAGCCTGACAGGCCGACCACCCCACTAAACCCTAAACTCAAGAAGACAGGTCCATCCGAGCCCTGTGTCAGTTCTGCTACCTCAAGTACATACTAGGCCAGCTGACTCAGACAGCCAAGCCCCTCCCCACATGATCCTAGAATATGGAACTGGCCCCCGTCATCATGGGGCAGATAAGACAGCATGAGACTCAAGCTGGGCAAGTCCCTTTATTGGAAAAAGAAATAATAAAACAAAAGGCTACTGTTTGGCCTGTGCCCTGCCCACCCTCCCACCAGAGGTGCATGATCAGACTCAATTCTCAGCCAACAGTGGGCCAGGGCTGCACCGGTCATGGCCAGGAGTCAGGGGCCGTAACAGAGCCCACTGCACTACAGCTCTCCAGGGAGCTCCTTGCACCAGGACTCCCTGTGACCCAGACCCTTGAGCCCTCAAGGGCTGGGCCACCCTCTCCAGCTCTCTGGGTAGGTGTTTGCTCCCTCTGCTGCTCCCACGTCCAGGAGAAAACCAGGCCCCTCTTTGGTTCCAGAAAGCTACCTACAGCGGCTGGTGTTTCATGTCCACTTCTAGCACCTCCTGCCAGGTGAGGTAGGCAGCCCCTTTCTGTCCATCTTCTGGGCCCCAGACGCCAGGCTGCCCCCTTCCCACTGGCTCCCCTGGACTTCAGGAGCCAGAGCACCAATAGCTGGACATTCCTGCTGTCTTTGCAGTGAGAATTTACCTTTGCCCCTGCTGGTTGCCGCCTCCTTTGAATGTCCAAGAACATTTCACCTGCACGGTTTTAAAGAGCCCTGGCACCTGGGTGGGCTGAATATGCAGCATCTGTGGCCCCACTGTCTCATCACGGGGGCTGAGAGAGGTACACTGAAGGCCACTGGAAGGTTGGCTCTGCTCTCCAGGACCCTGACTTCTCTTCTGCTAGAATGTGCACAGTAGAGTCCGAAGGTGGGGGAGAGGCCAGGAGAAAGATCCAGGCTGACAGCCCCCAACAAGGGATGAGGGCCGACATGGGAAAGAAGCCACACCATCTACCATTGTGTAACACAACACGGCAGGATGCAGAGCTGGGCAGTCAGCCTGGCAGCCGAGGGGAACACAAGTGCACTCTCACACACAGACACATGCACTCATACAAGTACTCACATGCTCACACTTAGTCACACTCATCTATGCACACTCATGCACACAGGTACACTCACACATACATCATGCCTACACGTGTTCACATGCACTCACATTCACACTTTATACATGTGTACTCAGGTACACATATGCACTCAAACACATTTATACACATGTGCACACACACACACACACACTCACACTCCTGTGTTTGCACCCACTCACACAGGTGCACTTACATTTATACACTGGTGCACACGTGCATGCTTACGCATGTGCATATTCACAAATGTGCATGCTTACACACACGTGCACGCGCGCACACAGGTCCTAAAATCTGGAAATTGGCTCTGGTTCAGGAAATTCTAACTTCCCTGGCCACATCTTTCCACAAAGTTTGTCCAGACCCCCATAGAACCTTTCAGAGCCCAGAGTGTATTCCCCTCAACCAGTGACAGGTGTCCTGAAAGTCTCAAAGCTGGATACTTTTTGGCAAGGCTCAGATGGGCTTCCAACTCTGGGTGGAAGACAGGGAAGCCACAGATCTGGACGAGGTCAGGAGCAGCTGAATAGATCCCCACCAAGATGCCCATCTCCCCAGATCTCCAATTTGGCAGAAGTGGCATCATAGACAGGCAGGGACCCTGAAGTGGTCTCAAAAAAAAAAAAGCTGACACTGAAAGACAGCACTGAGAGCAGGGGCAAAGGAAGAGAGTCCTGGTGGGTGTTGGCTTTGGGGTGAAGGATCATGCAGGGTGGGAATTCTCTGAGCCTCCCTCGGGGGTGTTGGGAAAGAAGCCAAGGAAGAGAGGGATTGTCCAAACAGTGTTCTCCCCACCCCAGCTTTCCCCAGGTCAGGAAGTGGACCAATCCTGCCAGCGAGGAAGGGGCTGGGAGCTTGAGTTGAGCGCTCACAGGAAACACAGGGACAGTCGCTCTCACTTCCAACCCGGTCAGCTTGGTAGACCCAGAGAAGACTTAGAAGCGGGTGCTCTGGTAGCGCAGCCGCCGCAGGTCTGCGAGGCCCTCACTCCGGCCATACACCTCCCTGCAGGGACTCTCGGCCAGTCACCGGGCCCCCGCCCCGCCACCCCCAGCGCTGCTGCTGCCACCGCTGCCGCTGCTGCTGCCGCTGCTGGAGCTGCCACTGCTGCACCGGTCCTCATAGATGGAGATCTCGATCTGCGGTCCTGGGTTAAGGAGCGCTGAGAGCCGCCCGCCGCCGAGCAGGGGCCGGTGTGAACCCAGCTAAGCGCAGGGGCCATGAGCAGCCCCGGAAGCTGAGCTCGCGTAGCTTCCTGGACAGCGGGGCTGGGCAGGCCTGGAGCTGCGGGCGTCCACGCACTCAGCTAAATGAGTCGCTGAGCGCTGAGCCGGGTCCACAGCCCCATCACACCAGGCAGGGCCCCGCCCTCACAGAGCAGTATCTATCGCAGGCCACCCCTGTGCTACCGAGGTGGTGTAACTGCGCCAGAAATATGAGGACTTCAGTGCGCTGCATTCAAATCCTGCCACTCACAAGCTAGGCCAGTCACTCGTTAATGATCAATTATTGGTCTGTCGAATGGGAATAATAATAATAGAACCTTTGGGTTACTGTGAAGATTAACTACGTAGGTACCCTCTAAGCACTCTACCTGCCACATGGGACAGACTCAGGGGAAAGAAGCATTGCTCGAGACGCTCTGTATGTGTAGTTTCTGGACGTTTTGTTTTCTTTCCTCTTTTTCTTCTCCATTTGAAAGTAAAATTAACTATTCTGCTCTTGTTGTTGCTGGGGGGGGGGGAGGGAGGAATGTGGGCACACCTGTCCCCCTGCTATTCTAAATAGAACCAGCAGAACTATGGCCCACCTCTTGCCCAGTCTCCCACCAAGACCCAGTTCTTCTCACCTGTGAATAAGGAACAGTGGGACCCATTGTGGGAAATTAAATGAGGAATATTTGCATATTCATGAGATTATTTACATAGTTCTTGAAAGCTGAAACAGCCTTATGGTTAAGGGTGGGCCTGAGCTCGAATCCTGGGTCTGATACTGACCTGCTGGGCGACCTTGAGCCAGTTATTTAACTTTGGAGTCCAGATACATAAAGGAGAATAAGAACTGCCTACCTGAGGGTGTTGTGAAGAGAATTACATGAATTCATAGTTTCAAAGCCCTTACTGTGGCACCTGCTGTATATTAAGCACTGATTACATGGGCTCAATAAGTGCAGACCTGAAACTCACCCCAATAACTTATGGTGGTTTGGGGCCAAAGACCAGTGACATGCAGATTCCAGGGCAGGCCCTGAATGGAGACTCCTAGGGTAGCTCCCATTTCCTGGCAGCCTCCCCAGGGAACCCCCAGTTGGCAGCTCCGTGCCCTGGCACAGAAGAGCCAGCAAGGATACAACCCTCATCCCACGCTCCACAGGGTCCGTGAGCAGGAGGCCTCGAGGTGCAAAGATCTTCTCATTCTGCTCCTGGATGTAGCGGGAGATCTTCTTGAGAACCTGCAAAAACAGGGGCCAGTGAGGGTGACCGTGCAGCAGTGAAGCCGGTGGGGAGGGAGACGCAGGGAGGCTGGGGAGGCACCACCTTCTCATAGTGGGTCTCCATGCAGAGGAAGATGAAGTAGGCTGTGGCACAAGCCAGGCAGCCCTCGAGGTAGGAGCTTCCCCCAATCTTCTCTGCCTCTGCGTAGAAGCCATTGAGAGTCTTCACAGTCTCCTCAAAGAGCTGTCGCTCAATCTGGAGGGAGAAAAGGACAAAGCCAAGCCAAGGTTAGCCTCCCTGGAGTGTGGACAGAAACAGGTGGGGCTCAGATGACAGTGGTAGGGTCACAAATGGGGGAGAGATGACATATAGTCACACAGTAAGACAGAGAGGCTACAGGTAGACCAGAAAGAACCCTGGACTTGGAGGCAGGAGGCCACAACCAGTCCAGACCTGGTCATCAACTAGTTTTGCAACCTTGATTGACCACTTACTTACACTAGTCTTCAGTTTCCTCATCTATAAAATAGGAATAAGAATAGCTGTTTGCCTCTCTTAGGATTAGGAGACTCCTGTGATATTGCAGATGCTTTCCGCAGAAGCTCAGACAAGTGTTGTAGGGACTTTGTCACTTCCCATTTTGATGGTCATGTCAGAGTTCAGGACCAAATTTCTAGGGGTCCTCCATGTCTCTTCTGGGGCCCACCTGCATGAGACTGATCAGGTGAGACCTCCA